AGTCGATCCTCTCAAAGTATGTAGGATGTTGTTGTGAATAACTTTACCAACATCTATGGATAGGCGGTACTGAATGGCATAATTGAGGGTCGCCCGTTCCTTTGTTACTTCACTTAAGTTGCTTCTGGGAATAAGTTTACCAGAAATGAAGTGGTGCCAAGCCTTACAACCCGAAGTCATACCAGAAGCAGGGAAGTTAATTACATCAGTCTCCGAACGTTTCCATGTTGTGCCAGTTGTAGTTAAGGCTTAAATAACCTCATCAGAATCAACACCCTCGTCACGAAGTCTAGAGTACTCGTCATTTTCAATATCTTGCAAATGATAAAACCTGTTGATGGAGGTTCTATCAAATGGTATCCATTTACCCCACACAAACACTTGAAAATCACGATGCTCCTTCGCATTGGCGTAGAACTTTCTAACAACCGGAATTAGAGCCGGTCGTGGCTGCCGAGCAAACACCTCCCGATTCCGCCGACCTATTTGCTCTGTCATATAATTGTCAAAACCACGTTCAGGAATACAGGTCTTGTGTACCACCAAGCTATTATAACGTTCAGCGGCCTCGGCACTAATGAATTTGCTCCTGTCAAATGAGCTAGAAGAGGAGGCTGCGGCTTTAGTTCTCTTTTTAGGCGGCATTGGACCTGTACAAGGGTAAAACAGCAAACCATGAGCAAAAAAACAGTAATAAAGGACAATAAGGCAAGGCTAAAAATCTAGCCATACGAGGAAATTATGGTCGAACGTGCAAGTGATGTACTCTAAACCCAATTGTCAACTCATAATCATCTACATGGCAATTCCCACATAATTCAAATAGCACAATAGCCAAAATAGCTCCTTCTACCCATCTAAGTTCACCTAGACAATTCATCAAACACATTGAATGCACCAATTTTTCACCAAAAAATTGCCTATAAGTTGGGAGTAGTTCATGCCACAATATTCACACAACACACAAAGTTCTTGACACTACTACAAGGCAAGACCTCCTCATAACATAATTAACAAAAATAGGCACATAAACACAACAACTATAATGTAAGAGGAGCAAATACAAAAGCCATACCTGGAATGGTGTTGTGGAAACTAATTGAGATGGATGAATGCACACTTATCAACAAAGAGAAGTGGAAAAACAACAAAGGGGAGTGGTAGGGGGGGCGAAAAAATTTTGGATTTGAAAAAAAATGTGATGTGGGTGAGGTGATAATATAAATTAACCAAAAACAAAACTAAAAAAAAAAAAAGAAAGAGAGGGGAAGAGTTTACCTTGGAGGGGTTGAGGGGGAGAAGAAAACAAGTAAAGGTAAAGGTTAGGGGGAGAAGATGAGAGGGGAGAGATGAGAGGGAAAGAGAGTTGGGGAAAATCGTATGAGGGATGGGGGCTTAGGGTATAAGAAATAGACAAGAAAGAAAGAAAAAAAAATGAGGAGAGGGGATGGTCATGTTCGCAGCGCCTGTTTCTGCCCGAAACGCACAGGCGCAGCGCCTGGGCGCTGCGTTGCTGCCAAAATTGGCAGAACCAGCGCCTGGGCGCTGCGAACTCAGCGCCTAGGCGCTGAGTTTTTGCCTTCGTTTTGTAAAATTTTTATTTTTATTTTTTTTACCTCACCCTTTTTCACACTCATTCATTTTCGTTGTAGAGCTCAAATTTCGCGATATGTAACCTCCATGGATTCTCCTACAAAAGCAAGAGAAAGAGTTACTACGATAGTATAAATTATTAAAGGAAGAAAACAAAATCAAAGCATAAACCAATAATCAAATAAAGAATAGAGCTTGGGTTGCCTCCCAAGAAGCGCTTCTTTTAAGTCATTAGCTGGACGTAGTGCCGCAGTTATTCGGGAACAGCTAGATCAAGACTCTCTTTAGCGGTGGGAAAATCTTCCACATAATGCTTGATGCGTTGACCATTTACTTTGAAATTTCCTTTAGTTGGATGGTGTAATTCAACTGTCCCGTAGGGAAACACCTGAGAGACCGTAAAAGGGCCGGACCATCGAGACTTCAATTTTCCTGGGAAAAGTTTAAGCCGGGAATTGTATAATAGCACTTGATCCCCTACTCGAAAAATTCGTTGCCTGACGTTCTTGTCGTGCCACTGCTTTGTTCTTTCCTTATAGATGGATGCATTCTCATATACCTCTCTTCTGAATTCCTCCAACTCATTTAGCTGTAGTATTCTTGTTTCTCCAGCCTTATCGAGGTCCATGTTTAACTGCTTCAATGCCCAATACGCTCTGTGCTCAAATTCCACTGGTAGGTGGCATGCTTTCCCAAAGACTAGTCGGTATGGGGACATTCCTATAGGCGTCTTGTAAGCTGTGCGATATGCCCATAAAGCATCGTCCAATTTTTTTGACCAATCCTTGCGAGATGCATTCACAGTGACCTCCAAAATTCTTTTCAATTGTCTGTTCGATGTTTCCACTTGTCCACTAGTTTGAGGGTGATAAGGAGTGGCAATTCGATGTTGTACTCCGTACTTATGCAAAACTGCTTGGAATAACCGATTGCGGAACTGCGTTCCACCATCACTTATAATTGCCCTAGGTGATCCATATCGGTTAAATATGTGTTTCTTTATGAAGTCGACCACCACCCTTGCGTCATTAGTAGGTAGTGCTTTAGCTTCTACCCATTTTGAAACATAATCCATCGCGACCAGGATGTACCGATTGTTGTAAGATGATGGAAACGGACCCATAAAATCAACCCCCCAGACATCAAATATTTCCACTTCCAAAATGTTGTTAAGTGGCATCTCGTGACGCGCTGATATGTTACCAGTGCTTTGACACTTATCGCATGACCTACAGAAACTGTGGCAATCCTTGAACAATGTAGGCCAAAAGAAACCACATTGGAGTACCTTTGCTGCTGTTTTAGTGGGGCCAAAGTGCCCTCCATAAGCCGAAGCATGTACTCGCAAGAGGATCGGTTTCATTTCATCCTCAGGCACACATCTCCTAATGATCTGGTCCGCCCCTCTCCTATACAAATTTGGATCATCCCAGTAATAGAATTTCGCTTCATGACTGAGCTTCTTCTTTTGCTGATAGGTGAGATCCGGATCCATATAGCCACTGGCTAAGTAATTAACAATGTCTGCATACCACGGAGCTTTTTCTACCAGCAGTAACTGTTCATCTGGGAAGATCTCATTGATATTCATATTATCTGAATTCTGATGTTGCTCTATCCTTGACAAGTGATCTGCTACCTGATTTTCTGTTCCTTTTTTATCACGAATCTCGATGTCAAATTCTTGTAGTAACAGCACCCAGCGAATTAGCCTTGGTTTCGCATCCTTCTTCTCAAACAAATATTTCAGAGCTGCATGGTCTGTATAAACTATCACCTTGGACCCAATCAGATAAGAACGGAATTTGTCAAAAGCAAAAACAACTGCAAGCAATTCCTTTTCAGTTGTGGCATAGTTGATCTGAGCATCATTCAATGTTTTGCTAGCATAGTAGACAACATGAAATACTTTTCCGTTGCGTTGTCCAAGCACTGCTCCCACTGCAAAATCACTGGCGTCACACATGAGCTCAAAAGGCAATTCCCAATCTGGAGCCACTATCACAGGTGCCGATGTCAATTTTTCTTTCAAAATGTTGAAGGCTTTCAAACACTCCTCAGAAAATTGAAAGGGTATATCTTTCTCCAGCAAATTACACAACGGTTTTCTAATTTTTGCAAAGTCTTGAATGAATCTTCTATAAAACCCTGCATGTCCCAGAAAACTCCTGATCTCCTTTACTGAATTAGGTGGCTGCAATTTCTCAATCACCTGTATTTTTGCTTTGTCCACTTCAATCCCCTGTGCAGAAATTCTATGTCCCAGTACGATTCCTTCCTTTACCATGAAATGACATTTTTCCCAATTAAGCACAAGGTTCTTCTCCT